GAAGGAATCAGCGATTCATGGTAAGTGACAATCATGAATAAAGTTTGGGGTTTAATCATATTCACCTTCAATCAAAGAGCAGCGGCAAGTTGGCTACAAGAGGGAGATTCGAATTCCAAGTACTTCCATATCACAACTGCTCAAAGACGCCGACAAAATCATATTGAACTTCTCCGGGATGATCACGGGTTCATACATGTTGAGGAATCAACAAAAGGTGATGTCTCTGTCTCTTACTTTCGCCGCCTTTTTTCCTCTAATGGCAATCCTTTTCAGTTCCTCGTGGCGGAAAGTTAGCTCTGCACATAATGCTCTCCTAACAGCTTAGATTTCCCATAGTGAAATTCAGCGAGCTGCCTTTAGTATCGGTCCTACTCAAGCCCCTGGATCGGATGGTCTCACTGCTGCCTTTTTTCAATCTTTTTGGGATATCGTCGGTAACTCAGTTTGTGTTGCTGCTAGTTCTTTTTTTAGGTCCGGTCGTTTACTACACAACTTCAACCATACGTTACTTATATTGATCCCAAAGATTCCTAATGCAGATTCGATGACACATATGAGGCCAATAGGCCTCTGCCAGGTGTTTTATAAGATTATTTCTAAGCTTTTCGCCTCGTCTGAGTCAGGTGCTTCCTTTGGTGGTCAGTGATGCTCAGAATGGGTTGATGAAAGGCAGGGATATCTCGGAGAACATTCTCATCCACAGGAAGTTATGCATTTCCTCAAAACGAAGACCCAGGGCCGAGATAAGTGGATGGCTCTCAAGCTTGATATGGAAAAAGCATATGATCGGGTCGAGTGGGGATTTCTTTTTGCTGTAATGGAGGCATTGGGGTTTGATTCTACTTGGATTAAGTTGATTAAGGTGTGTGTGACAACAGTCACGTTTTCCATTTTATTAAATGGCCACACTCACGGCTATTTTCGGCCGGAACGGGGTCTTCGACAAGGTGATCCTCTCTCACCTCTGCTTTTTGCCATTTATACTGAAGCCTTTTGTACCTTGATTTCTAATGACCTCTCCTCTCAGCAGCTACATGGATCAAAAATTCATCACCGCGCTCCAGTCACTTCACATTTACTTTTTGCTGATGACACTTATTTGTTTTTGCGAGCTTCTTCTACGGAATGCTCTACTCTTTTGCAGTTACTTACCCTCTATGAAGCAGCTAGTGGGCAGAAGATCAACCTGCAAAATTCGAAAGTATGCTTCAGTTCCTATGTGTCGGCTCAGGAAGCATCCGCTCTAGCGGCTCTTTTGAGTGTGGATTCCATTGTTGATCTTGACAAGTATCTAGGTCTCCCCGCTCAGATCCACCGGTCAAAGGTTCAAACATTCCGGTTTCTTGAGGACAGATTAGCCAAAAGGATTCAACATTGGAAGTCTAAATCCCTCTCCTTGGCAGCAAAAGACGTGGTGATCAAAGCGGTTGGATCAGCAACTCTGGTTTATGCGATGCTTTCTTTCCGCATTCCGGCCACCTCCTATCGTCGTATGAATGGCTAGCTCTCGCGGTATTGGTGGGCCAGCCAAGCCAAGGTCAAAGGTATTCACTGGCTTTCTTGGCCAGCCATTTGTGTGAGTAAGTTTCGAGGAGGCCTTGGATTCCGGGACGTCGATCTCTTTAATATTGCTATGCTAGCAAAACAGGCCTAGAAGCTGCTGCTGTCCCCGACTTCTACATTGGCTAGAATGTACAAGGCTCGTTACCATCCCCATTGTGACTTTCTCCATGCTACAGCTGGTTCTCGTCCATCCTGGGCTTGGCAAGGTGTATTAGCTGGTCGAGAGTTGCTTCTTAAAGGGCTTCGGTGGCAGGTTGGGTGTGACACTGCCATCCGGATCCTTGAAGACCCTTGGTTGCCTACTTCTCCACCTTCCTCTCCGTCCCTTCTACCCGGGGTCCATCTCCCCAGTCTGTATGTGGCATCTCTCATCGATCCTTTGACGCGGTAGTGGAATTTACAGTTGCTTCTGTTTTATTTTACTCTTGCCACTGTACAGTCGATTCTCTCTATCCCTATCCCTCTCACTCCCAGGCCTGACAGGTATATTTGGCATTATTTAGAGACAAGAGTATTCTGTCAAGTCGAGGTATCACCTCCTCTCGGATGTTCGTTCTGAGTTGTTCAACACTCTTCCACCTCATTTGGATGCTCGGTTCTGGAAATTGCTTTGCAGCTTACCTGTTCCTCCTAAACTGAAGTTTTTCTTATGGAGGGTTGTTCGGGGTTTCTTACCATGCTTGGCGGTGCTACATAGCAAAACTCTTAGTCTTAGCGACTCTAATGTTTGTCCTGTATGTTCTGACGGGGTTGAATCTATTTCTCATTGCCTGTTTGATTGTAGAGTGGCACGTGCAGTATGGAATCTAGCTGGCAAAGATCATGTCTGTGTGCTTCTCTCGGGTATGATGCCTGATTTAGCATGGTATGCAATTTTCTTCTCTATGCAGCTCAGCAAGGTAGCCATGGCAGAATTGGTCTTCCTAGCCTGGCGGATTTGGAAGGCTCGGTGCTGGTCTTGCTATGACAAGGTCCAGTTCCTCCCTGGCCCTCTTTTCCGCCAATTTTTACTTCAAAAGGAGGAATGGATAGCAACCACTTCTCCTCCATCTTCACATGGATGTCGTTTAGCTCGGCCGCCTATCTCCTCTCCATCGCCATCCTGTCCTCCGGGTGGTCTGCTCGTTCGTTTTGATGGGGCGACTAGGCGGGAGGTCGATGGCAGTATTGGCTTTGTTGGTTTCTCTTCGTCCGCCTCCATCACTTGTGCCTACGTTAAATACTACTGTGGCTTATTTGACCCTTTTGTGTTTGAACTCTTAGCGTTACGAGATGCGATGGAACTCTTAACTAGGGGTATTTTTCTGTTTGTTTTTGTGGGGATTCTCAATTGGTGATCCGCCGCATGACGGAGGATACGTCTCAGCATAACATTGGCGGAGCAATCCTGGATGAAGTTCGGCTGATGAAAGCATCATTCGCGTCTATTCGTTTTGTTTTTTCTCCTCGTAGAACTAACAGGGCTGCCCATTGCGTGGCGAAAACGGATCTTGCATTGGCTAATCAGCATTTGGCTGATTTCCGTTATTTATTTTTTATTTAGTTTTTTGTAATTCCCAATTTATTACTTTTCTATCTATGGCAAAAAAAAAAAGTTGGACAAAGTTCAAATGAAGATGGAGATCCCAGCAGCCAAACGATCAAGATGGTGGAGCACCACAACAAGAATAGTAGATCGATCCTACTTTTGTACGATGCAACAATTGGAGATCGAGGATGAGAAAACTCATCAGTTGATTGAAGCCGACGAGACAGATTATCCAGAATCAGAATCTATGGCTTCTAAATCTAGGTTTAGCGATTTTTTCTAATGAATGGGGGAAGAGAGATGGAAGAGAACAAAAATAATTTTTTTGAAACCAGAGTAAGGCCACCATAATTTATTGCTTAGCCAAGTTGCTTGAATCAAAGGAAACAGTAGCTTCTACCAAAAAAAAAAAAAAAGGAAACAGTAGCAAAAACTTCAGAGGGAGTCTCTGCAGTCCAACACTTACAATCATTAATAGATAGAGGAATGTGGGCAAGTTGGTGGGCTACGGTATTGGCTTCTCGAAAGCTATGAAGCCAGGCTCTGGATTCATTAGTCTTTATAGCATCCTGAATCATTTTGCAGATTACTCCTACCTCATTCAGACACAGACACTCTAACCTCGTTTAAGTTTAGTAATAAATTGAATGGGAAGAAAGAAGGTAGAATAGTAGAAGACAATAAATTGGATAGAAAAAATTGAAAATGATAATAAGGGGGGGTGGAAGTGAAACAGTAAACTTACCCTTTTAATGCAATCCCAACCATTGTTGCAAAATAACCAAATAGATGCAAATGTCTTGGGTTCCACCATCCCAAAAATTTACACCCTTTCATTTGTGCCCCTAAACAAACTTAGTGTATATGTCTAGCATCTCAACTTATGGTATGGAGTATGTTGAGGATTGGGAAGTTGTGGACAAGAAGAAGGGGATTACATGGACGTAGGTAGAGGTGACAAATAGATCAAATTCATGAATTGGTGAATTGAATAAATGAATTCAGGTGACATCTATAATTTTCAAGTATCCATAAAATCATCAATCCAATTGAATTTGGATTAGTTGAACATTTTAATGAATGGATTGGTTGAATCGGATTCAAATTGCCACCTCTAAATAGTGACCTCTCAAATCACCTAATGAATGTTCATTGTATCATCTACTGTATGGCGTAAAATGTACATATAATCTTGGCACTATCTTTCTCTACAATATCTTGTGCACTAAATTAATCGTCAAATAATCTTTTCATGCTTCAACACAAAAAAAAAAAAAAATCTTCAAATGTAACTTACTATGCAAGACGTACAAGAATGCTAGCCCCAAAACAATGTGAAACAAGTTACTTTTTTAAGTTGAATCTGTCTCAGCCCCGACGAGTTATCAAGAACTAGTTAGGTCTAACAACGAGAGTGATTAGGATATAATATAGAATAAATCTATATCATTCTTGTACACACCTTTTCAAACAAAAATCAACATATGAGCTTGAAACTTGCATAGATTCTTATGTTTTATGCTTAAATTAATTGTTAATATTGTGGATCAAGTTGATTCCAAAAAGAAACCGCTTGATCATAACATGAAACCTCTTACGTGATTGTGTGGACGATAAACACATTTGTCACATCCTAATTACGACATTTGTTAAGCGTCTCAATATAATGATCAAACTAATGCCACTCCAAACTAGGGTGATGTTGCAGCTGAACTGTAGCAAGATTTTCCAGTTTTCTCTACGACAAACTTCTGCAGAAAGCAAGGGTTGAAATAAATCCAAAATCCAAAAAAAAAAAACTCTTCAATTTAGGAAAAAACAAAAGCAAGAAACAAGTAAAAGATATAGTTAACCAGCCTAATCAATGGGCCATGATTTTTCTTTGGCTTTTATATTTGGCTCATTCTCAGGTTTGTCTCTCTCTCAATTTCTTGACGATGCCGAATGCAGCACCAGCAACAGCAGCAAAGATCACTGAGATTATGACCGTTGTTTTCAAGCTTTCCGCACGATCCTTCTTATCCTCGCTCGCCTTCTTCTTTTCTGCCTCCTCTTTTTCCTGCCATGCCAACACCCAAAAGGTTTCCCCATAACTGTTTGTTCTAACAATTATATGTTCAAGAAAACAAATTGAAATTGAAATATGATATTTTTCACGTCAAGCAATCCACATTTACATAAGCAAACCACAACCAACGTTTTGCGGTTATCCAACGATCGATAGCAGTAAGATCATGTAAAGAGAAATGCCAAAGATAATGATAAAGAGTAGAGTACCTTGTTGGCGAGGGAGGCAGCAATGCTGGAGGAAGTGGAATCAGCCTCAACTCTTTTGTTGTGGCTAGGATTCAGCTCTTTGTCTACATTAGCCTCTGGAAATGCTTTCTTATCTGAAACGGCTGTCATCTTTTTCTTCCTTCTTCTTTTCTTTCTTTTCTTTTTGGTTTGTTTTGCTACAAGATCTTTGTCTCTTCCTCTGTTGTGTTAGGTTCAGCAACGAAGAAAAAATTACAGGGAGAAAAAGGAGGAAAAGAGAGAGAGAAAATCCTTAAGTTTTTTTTCTCTCTTTTATTGCACTCACTAATGAGAGCAAGAACAATGACATGTGTCTTGTCCTTGTATGCTACTAAGTTTGTTGCGGTTGTTTTGCTCATCTCCACAAGGTTCCCTGAAGATTATATGGGATCCGAAATATAAGTATATAATCAACTAACCAACCAATAAACAAGGATTGAAATCTGATGTAAGAGTAAGACTTACTATTTTTATTAGTGTGGGGTTTAGTTAACTCAGAAATACGCTTCCCTTGAGGATTTTTCTTCGTGCTTAGCCCGGTTCTCATGCACCCTTCTTTTCTTATCTGGAAAATTTGGTCACTTCAAAAAGAGAGATCCACTATGCAACTGGATTACTACAACTTCAAGAATCAACTAAGAACAACAGAAGCCCATAACAAGGAATACTGCACGCTTTTGATCCTTAGACCACCCACAATGTGGGAGGGGAAAAGGGGTGGGGGAAGAAGTTTGACCACAATAGGGGAAGGGAAAGAGGATATTTGGTATGTTATTTTTTTATAAAATCAATTGATCTTTGGAAAATAAGGCCGTTGGTAGGCAATTTTGTCCGTTGGGGAAACAAAAAAATAAACCAAAATTATTTAGTTAAAGAAAAAACATAAAAACAGATAAACCCGCTGGGCTGCACGCCTAGCGGTCCCGGCCCGCCCCCTCCACTCTCTCTTCCTCCTCTTTTTGTCCGTTTGTAGAGAGTTTTCCCACCCATTTTTCACTACTTTCACTTTTTTCCCTTCTCCCGCCACTCACATTGTGGGTAGTCTCAGGAGTTGTTCACATCTAAATATTAAAAACTTGTGAAACAAGCTTGGAGGATCCTATCCTCACCTGATTCATTGTGGGCCAGGATTCTGAAGGGTTTGTATTTCGCTTAATGTGATTTTAGAGATGCCCGTAAAGAAAGTAGAGTCTCCTCGATCTGGGCAAGCATTTGTGATGTTAAGCAATAGATGTGTCAAGGTATGATCAGAGTCATAGTAAATGGAAGGACCAAGCGAATCTTCAACGATCCATGAATTCTGAAGAAGCCTGATGGGACTATCATAGGACCAGTCAATGATCAAAGGATGGTTTGTGATTTAATCTATCATAATGAAAGGATGTGTGATCTCTCGGGGGTTTGGTGGTCAGGTTTCGATGGTGGACCAACAAGCTATCGACATGATCCCTATTGGCTCCCCATAGATGGAGGATTTTTGGGTGTGGCGATTTACAACGACGTGACGAAAGGATGTGGGATCTCTCGAGAGTTTGGTGGCCAGGTTTCGATGGTGGACCAACAGGCTATCGACATGATCCCCATTGGCTCCCCGTAGATGGAGGATTTCTGGGTGTGGCGATTTACAACGACGGGGGAATTCTCAGTTAGTTCTGCCTACCATGCTTTCCATGATAACCACCATTTTGGAACCACTAAGAGTTCAGAGGCTCCCCAAGCGGATAAGGAGAAATGGAAATGGCTTTAGAGCCTCTCCTTGCCACCGAAGATAAAATTCTCCCTCTAGAAGGCATCTAGAGGAGCTCTATTGACAAAAGAGAACATTTTCTCCCGACATTGCTCTCCAACACGAGAATGCCTTATCTACTTCCAGATGGAGGAATCCACGCACCACGTTCTCTTTGGATGTGCCCATGTTGGGGAGTCATGATGCATCTGGTTCCTCAGGTTGCTCTCCCCCCCTTCTCCTCCCATACTTGACTGTTATTGATTGGCTTTCGGTGGTTGGGAAGTCTTGCCATTAGGTGACTATACTAAAATTGGTATACCATCTTTGGAACACGAGGAAAGCTCGGAATGAAAAGGTCTTCAAAAATGTCAATCCTTGGCCCCCTCGTACCTGTTCGAAGTAATTACAAGAGCTTCAGTAGTGGAAAACTTGCCCAAAAAAGAAGAAAGAGGGTATCAATGTTTGTAGCCGGTCTACTCCACCCTCATCCAACTCTCCACCACCGTCTGGCAATCTCAATTTCGAGATTCACTGTGATGGGTTGTTTTTCATGATACCTAGGAGGCGGTATATGGCGTTGTCGTTACTAACAATCATGGTGAGGTTTGTGATGGGAAGGGCGACCCCCTATTATGCAATTCAGTTTTGGAAGAGGAAGCAATAGCATTACAAGAAGGATGTTTGCTCGCATTGGATCTCAATGAACCATGCATGATCCATTCTTATTGTTAAACGTTGGTTGGAACTGTTAGAGGACGAATGAAGGATTGGTCGTGGGCTGTTGCTGCACGTATGGATTTCATCGTTTCTCCCCCTTCAGCGAGCCCCAAATGTGGGGATTTCCTTCGTGTGTGATAGACCGATAATTATACATGTTTTTACCCCTATTCTGAGGCCGTTTGTGACGAGGAATCTCGTGTTTTAAGTCGATTTCACGCTAGGTTGTGTGTTTATGTCATATTTCAGGTCCCGGCGTTGGAATCGAGGCGGAGAAACGAGTTCTGGGTCGAAAGGAGCAAAGTTGGGACGAATAGGGCTGAAGGAGGAAAATACCCGGTCAGGTGGCCAAATACCCGACCGGGTATTAACCAATTTTGGGCGCCCGAGAAGCAGCGAGGGGCCCGGGCACAGCAGTTAAATCCCCGGTCGGGGATTTTGGTGTTGGACCGGGGATTTCCCTCTTTAGTGAAACGGTGCGCTGCAGAATACCCGGTCACAACCCAAAATACCCGACCGGGTATTCTGACCGGGTATCGCGACCAGGCAGAGGATTTAAGAGAGAAGAAGGCCAACATTGAAGGATTCGAGTTTTAGAGAGATAGAGCGATTCCTAGAGAGAGAAAGCGACGAACAAGAGCCTCCAAGTGCCCTAGATCGATCTTCAACACCATTGGAGCTTGGTTTGAGATTGGAGAAGTGCCGATTCAACGTCCAGGAGCAGGAATCCATCCTTCACAGTATGAATTCCGCGTCTGATTCTGCTTTTGCTTCTTTCTCCATGGAGTAGTTCTCCCATTCATCTGGGTATGGAGAACCCTAGATTTGTATGTTAGGCTTTGATTGTATGAACCCAAGTACTGATTCTGTGATTGATTATATTCGATTGAAGTTTTTATGATTGAATGACTTGAATCCTGATCAAATTCCTGTTGTTTCTGCTTTAACCTAGAATGAGAATATCTGCCTAGGTTAATAGAGTATCCTTGATTGAAGGTAGGGAGTTGGTGACTTTAGTCGAGGAGCCAACTCACTATTCTGTACCGGATTTACTCCGGTAGTGGAGGTTTTGTTCTTAGGGCCTCAATCTGTCGACTCCGGTGGAGGTTAGTCGCCCGCTAGAGAGTCAGATTGAGAGGGTCTGAAGACCTTTAGTCGAGACTTCAGGCTGTTTAAGAACCTTCCGCAGTATAATCTTCATAGAAACTGAACTTGGTAATTACAATCCGGCTTAACTGCAGACTAGGGGGAACCATATCCGGGTGACCTCTTTAACCTGAATACAACCAGTTTACTTGCTTTGTTTGTTTGGTAGTTTAGACTTGCACTCCAGTTTTATTGCTAGATAACAAGAACTCAGTGAGTAGTCAGCAAATCTAGGACCCGGGTTGACATCTAAACCTAACCCGCTATACTACGCTTTAGGAAGTGGTTTCACTTGGCCAATTCCTAGGGTGACAGTAGAGTCGAGTCAAGTTTTTGGCGCCGTTGCCGGGGACGGCTAGGTTGTTGAAGAAAAGTGATTTCTGTTACTCTAGCTTTTCTTTTCGCTTTGTTTGCTTTGTCCCACTTGTGCCTTCACGGGTTTGCTTGCTTGAGTGTGTGCAGGTAGTGCATGACCCGTAGCCAGTCAGGAGGGTTACTGCCGTTGGATCCAGAGCTTGAACGCACTTGCCGCCAACTTAGGAGACAGCAGCGAGCTAGACTGGTTACGGGAGAGCGCATAGACGGCCACTTAACCAGCGATTCTGAGGAAGAGTCCGAGATGGAGGGCGAAGACATCCCACAACCGGGGAATGCTCGACAGGTTCCCCCGGTGAATCAGCATCCACCACCACCGCCGGGTCCCACCTTGGAGTACTACTACACTCCACGGATTGCTGACATCCACCCGGTCATCCTCTATCCACCCGTCCCAGCAAATAACTTCGAGATCAAGCCAGGCTGGATTCATCTCATCACATCCTCTATCCAGTTCCATGGCTTGAAGGATGAGGAAGCCCGGGCACACCTTTCCCGTTTTCTGCAGCTGACGAACGGGTTCAAGCTGAATGGTGTTCCGGATGAGGCAATCCGCCTTCACCTCTTCCCCCATTCTCTGGCGGGGAATGCTAAGAGGTGGTTGGAGACCCAGCCCCCACTGTCCATCACTTCTTGGGACGATCTGGCGGATAAGTTCGTGCACAGATATTATCCGGCATCGAAGACTACTGAGATTCAGCGGGAGATCACTCACTTCCGCCAAGAGCCAGATGAGTCCCTTCGTGATGCATGGGAGCGGTACATGGGATACTTCTGGCAGTGCCCCCATCATGGCTTCAGCGATGCTTTCACAGTGGGGAACTTTTACAGTGCCATCACCCCAGACAGCCAGAGGGTGATCGAGTCTCTATGCCCAGGAGGGGATATCCTTACTAAGACTCCACCCGAGCTGAACCAGATGATCAGTACCTTGGCTGCCCGCGATCATTCCTGGGGGCAGAGCAGCAGAGGCAGGCACTCCCGGGACCGTGGTGTGCACGCCATGGAGACCAGATCCGGGCTCGAGCAGCAGGTAGCTGAGCTAGTGCAGGCATTGAAGCAGCCCAACAGTCTTATTCCGGGCAGAAGTTTGGCTACACCCCCAGTTGCTCAGTGTCAGTGGTGTGAGAGCCCGAATCACCTC